TATATATATATATATATATATATATATATATATATACTCGTGAACATTCTTGCTATGTATATATAGCAAAAATGTTCCCGAATATCAAAGTGAAAATCGATAACAGTTGAAATCCACAAAGATCTGCGAAAAACCTGAACATTAGCTTGCTTTTTGCAGCCTGAAACTGCACATGCTTGAAAAATTGCGTTCCACTACTTTGACACCTTCAATTAATCAAAAAAAAGAGATGTTACACTTGTCAAGAGACTGCTCTAAAAAAAACATTGAAAAGTTGAAAAGAACATGTTCAGGTTTCATGTCCAGTAATGAATAATTAATGAATAATAGACATAGCATTCAAACGATATTAGTGTAGAAGTGAGTTAGATTTTACAAGTGGATTAGTAAAAGATTTTCACTTACTACTGTTAGCGTTACCGTTAAGAGTGACGTAAATTTAGTGCAACTTTGATTGAATATTTTGTTAGAAGTTTGGTTCTTACCATTAACAGTAGTTTTCTCGCCAATTTCATTCAATGGGTCATAGCTCAACTTGACAGCAGGTTTGAAAGAAGGCACTCCGTCTGGATCTGACAGATTTACCTTAGACAAATCGTACACCCAATCAGCAATTACGATGGGACATGTCTGTAGAAAACAGACAGGTAAATGAACACTTTTGATTGATTTTATTTTTAAAGAATATGACTGAGTAATCCTCAAAATACATCCAATAACATTTAAGCGAAGCAAACCTGAACGTCGTACGGATAGTTTGTAAAGTCAAAAAGACAAGTGACGTAAAAGCTGAATGATCCAGACGCCCAAACGGTGCCATCGTATTTAACAGCTGCTGGTAATCCTCCCATATGCAAATTCCAGCCGTGACCTCGAGCACTGAATTTTTAATTTTGGTTTTTATAAATACATGATCCTCAAACATTGGTAAAACAAATAAACAGAAATTTTAAAAGCGTTTTCACCAAACGCTGTTGTGCCTCTGTAGATGTTGAAAGGTGGTGACTTTGCACGAAGTAACACGCTGAAAAATTCTGCTTTAAATGCCTAAAAGTGAGCAAAACGGAACCTGTTATAAAGCGACAGTGCTGGCAGCCATATTTTGTAGGTACCAACAGTAATTTGCTTTGTATTATTGTAGTCAGATGGCTTCCACATCAGATTGGTATCGTTCCAACTGGCCCAAAGTAAGCCATGTAAAAGCATCGTTTGTTCGTGCTCATCCTCAATATTCGATGGAAATTAGGAATTTGCCGGATAGAAGTTTTAGTAGCGGCTTACCACAAATTCAATGTGTCCAATTAGAAGATAAATTTGGATGTTCATTTGGTCACTGTCTTTTTTCACAGGACGATGCTTTCTGAAGTACTTCAGGAATAGCTTTTCTTCCAAATCTTTGGCAGTCTTAACTGTGCCTGCTGTCGTGACATAGAAGAGTGCGATTAACAATCCTAAATTAATATTTAGTTTTTTAACAGACGATCTCCTATTCTCCCTTTGCAATCTTAGAAAACCTCAAGCAGGAACTGTGAAAGAAATTTTTTCTAGATGTAAAATAATTTTTTCTATGAGTTTTATCAATTTAGGTCAATAACGGAAGAATGTACATAGTTGCTAAAATTTAGCCGCAGTTTTGAACAAATTTTTATGACAATATTTGATGATGACATTTATGATGATATTTGATGATGACATTAAAAAAAGTGAAATTTTTAGATTTTTATTTTACATATATGATGCCAACGTCTTTCAGCTTATAAACTTACCACTCTTCTTTTGTTTCTTTTGATCATCACTATTAAATTTAAAAAGAGTGAACAAACGTTAAAATTTATACAAGAAATAACGTTCTAGAAAAGATGAGTAAAAAGGCAAGATTAACAATAAAACATTAATTAATTCTTACTTACCAAATGATAACCAAAACATGGCGAAAAAGTAATTGTAATGAAACAGAGTGCGTGCAAGAGCAACGTAAATTTGAGAATTCAAATTGTCGCTGCGACTTCACGGTTTTGTAAACAATCCAGCAGTTTGTAATTTGATAGCTACGGTGCCTATAATAAACAGTGATTGGTTTACATAAATATACAGTTTACTGATGAGATTTTTTTAACCAGATTACGGCTTTATAGTATAACAAATATTTTCTACTCCATGTTTTATTAGAATAAAATTTTTCTGCAAGCTTTACCACTTTAAAATCACTTTAAGAAATCTTATAACATTTAAAGTACACCTGTTACTTTGAAGAAAAAGATAATTGAAACTGTACAGCTGAATTATTTCAATTTTTTCAGTAAATTTGTTTAGGATACCTACTACATCTAAAACAGTGAAAATATAAGTGTTTGCTCAAAGACTGGCAGCAGTTTTTTGCTTTGAACCTACTTAGAGATAGGAAAAATTGTGCGTTTTGGAAACTAGAATAGCAGTAGCAGTGCGTGACAAAAAGTTATTAGTGAACTAATTTGCGAAATTTGGCGTAACTAGTCAGGTGTCCTCAGGAATAAGAACTCTTAAGAGCGACAATTGGCTTTCAGCAGTAGCAAGTCAGAAGATGACTGCAGCTTTTGATAGAGGTTGCGTAAGTGGTAGCTTAATTATTTAAACAAGTTATAGCACTAATGCAACTGTTCAGTTCAAGCTTATGATTTTGTTTTTAATTTCAAATGCTAATTTCCTTTAAATTTCTTTAAAGGCATGTTGCAATCGAGTAAATAACTCGCGTTAGAAACTAGAAAACTCAATAATTTAACCAACGGTGACTTTGTTTCTACTCATAGAGCATAATTAACTGTTTTCTTACACTGTTCTCAAACTCATTTTTTATTCAGCAATAAATGGTTATTAAATTGGCTTATTACAACTTTGAGTCTCATAATCTTATACGTTTTATCACCCGAGCTCGAGGGATCTGGTATGCAAAATTTGAAGTACAGGTATCAAAATAACATAGACACCAAACTTAGCTGGTGACAGTAAACGGTTGGTCTTCCTTGTTTCTGACTGCAATACCATTATGAGCACTTAAGCTTTCAATAACGAGCAACTGAATAAAGTGTTTCAAGGCAAAGTGACTAGAACAGTTAAACGAAGAATGTTTTGTAATTAGTCTTTTATGGTGGCATCTTTCTTCTGTGTATGATTTTTAAAAATTGGAAACATGGAGAACGTTTTGCAGTGAAGTTGCACTTGCATGGATCAGATGTTTACGGTTGAATATAGCTCTTCTCTATCTATAAACATAGTTGACATTTATTTATCAAAGAAACACTCAGCCGCAAAGAAACTGATAAATTTGGTCTTTCCTTTTATTCATTATTAAGTAATGAATATCTCAACAAACTGAAAAACATTTATTTCTGTCGGTTTCTAAAAGCGTCTTTGAAGCTTCATACAAAAAAATTTTATTTTCGGATCAGTTCTGGTGTACAATAGCAATATTGACTTGTTACGGTATTTATTTTTTTGTAAGTGCTTATTGCATTTGCAAGTAAAATGTGTCTAAAACCCTTGAGAAAATTAACCACCTCCATTCAAACTTTTTTCCGTGGTCGGTACGAGCGGCTTATGCTTCTTTTACTCCTTAAGTTTTTTGGGTTAGAGCGAAGCGCAAGTTTTTTGCTGTTTTAACCTCTAGACGCCTCTTTTTCAGCTTTAACTTTCTTATTACCTTATAAAATATGCCTCTTCTACGAACTTCTCCAGCTATACGGCATTCAGATAAACCATCTGTCTTTCAAATTTACTGCTTTGCGACTGAAAAATTAGGTTTCCAACCAAACTGATTCTATTTTCAGTGACTCTACAATTCTCAAGACGAGTACCCTTATGAGGAGTAAAAACGTTGTTAGACTAACTGATCCAAAATTGTTCAAAATTTTTTTTTTTTACTTTTTTTTATTGCTTATGACCAACTTTCTTGTACTCAGTTGAATTTAATGTATATTCGTTATTGAATACCTTATGCTCTTTGGTTTTACACGTTATCTACTTTGATAACTTTTGCGGTAGTAATATTTACACTAAAGATTAAATTCCCTGAAAGCAACCTTTAGAAACATTTTTTAGAACGACGCCTTTTTTTCTAAAAAGAATTAAAACAGCTATTTATATTATTTTTTAAAACTTGAATAAAGCCATCTTGTGCAAATAGATTAATATGTCTCAAAAGCTTCTTACCAAATGCTCTACAAAGCACACATGTATAAGCGTTCCCATTTTCAAATTAATTTCGTGATTCCTTATAGCAGAAAGTGCCTGCACAGACTGGATTCTAAAAATCGTCATTTTAAGTCTTACTTGTAAGAATGATTTAACTCTGAGAAGACTAAACTCTGCCTCTCAAGTGGTTTTTAATATGCTTTTTTTTTTTTTATTAAATGTCAAGTGTGGTTTCTGCGCTTGTTTTATACTGTGAACTTTAGAAGAAACGTTTCTTTGTAAAACTGTAGGTAATTTGTTGACCATCTAAATTTTTCCTCCAAATAAATTCTAGAAATAATTGCTAGTGTGCAGATGCTAATAAGATAGCTCAAGAAATATGCTATATTATGGTACCAATATTATTAAACGGCAAGAGGTTCTTTTTTGTTTAAACTACTGAGCGAAAGTACCTATCTATGACTTTTTCAAAGAGCGAACCTGACTTTTAGCAGTTTTTTGATATCTGTTTTTTATTTTTTTGGTATCGTGCGTTTCTTAAGGTATCTTGAAAAATGCGCTATCTGCTGCTAAGAAACTTTTCATCGAATGGCATTACTTTTGTAAAAAAATAATAAGCCATTTGTTTGTAGATGAGTAAAAATTAATATTCTTCGCTAGCACTACACTTTTCTATACTCCATTAATTGGTCCTAACCAGTTACAATTTTATTTTTATAGTCGTTTTCTAGAAAAAGGGAATTTATTTTTATGCTTTAACTATTGTTACTACCAGTCGTATGTTATCTTTTAAGAAAGGGGAGATGGTAGATAAGCCTTCGGTTTTTGGCTGACAAAAAGCTGGCACTAAGCAGTTGATTATGGAAGTGGATTGTCTTCTTACTAGTGACGATGATTTGCTTGTTTTTTTTTATTGCATTTTCAGTGAGATGGAGTCGCTATCATTTGTCGTTTAGTATTGTACATGGGCGATTTCCACTTCAAATAGAGTAAAGTTTTTGTGCTAGCTTTCTCTGTTTAAACGTTCAAAAAAAATTATTAATTTGGTCGCAGTATCTGAGCAGCTCGAGTACTGAGGTCAAGCAGAGACAGTGTTCCAAATAAAATATAGTCAAAGAAACAGTTAAACTTTTTTCAACTTGAATTTTAGAAATCTAAGGGTTATTTTTTTTTCCTGTATTAAGTTTTTTTTTTCAAATAATAGAAACGATTTTGTCGGTGGAAGACTGTTTTATTACGGTAAAAATGCAATGAAAAATACTGCCAGTAAACGAAGAAATCTTATTTTTCACTGACATCATAATACCCCGCCTTTCTTCCCTTCTTTTTGTCAACAGAAATCGTACCAGACATTCTCCTGACCCTAATTTTGATTGATCTTCTCTTTGAAGATGGTGAGAGAATGAAAGTAGAAGGAAAAAAGAATACTAATTTGTTGCTAGAACCGAGTGTGAAAGAAGCGCTAAAAAGACGTGGCAGTCAGTTAGGCTTCAAAATTTGATGATTTCTTCAGCAATTATAACTGTTTTACTTTACTCACTCTGATCAAGCGAGGGGACGGTGTAGTGAGAGAGTTGAAGGAATAGGCAGTCAAAGAATTTTTCAAAATTACATGAAGAAGAAGGAGCTTTAAATGCAAGATGCGGAACTTCAACCACATTTTTACTGTAGAATTCTACCTCTTGCGAAAAAGGGTTTAAGTACTCAGCTTTTGTCAACAAAAGCACACATAATTTTTTTTTGCTGTTCTGCTAAGCCCAGCTTTGTATCTGCAACATATAGTTTTAAAAAAAATTTAACGCTTTTTTTTTCTTATTTATCTGCATAACAGCTTTTGAACTGTCAATTTACTTACTGTTCTTCTGTATTAATTGCTTTATTGCCATTTTGAAAAGAAAAAAATTTCACTTCTAACATGATAAAAAGTGTATATGGAGTGATATTTCCAATCGTAGCAGTCGATAGAAGCTGCTCTGAAGTGTATTTGGTGCTTTAGTTTATAAGCAATTCTTCAATAATAACTCAAACCAACGGTTTCCAACCACAAATAGGTTTTAGAAGACGCAGTTATACAATCCAAAACTAAGCAGCAAAAGAAATAAAAAAGCTGCTATTTTTTCTTCCCTTCCTTTTTTGTACAAATTCGGTCAACGTAGCGTCGTGTTCACTACTTGAAAAATATCATTTATTAAACGGGGATAATTTGCGTCTTGAAAAATGGCATAAACATGGCTAATTTAGCTATGATAAAGCTTCTGCTGTTGTGTTGCTGCACCTTTAGGCGAGAGAGTGAGAGAAACAGACAGTCAGAGAAATTTTTAAATCACTGTAGAAAGTACGAACATTAATTACGTCGTGCTCTCAAAGTTTGTACCTTCTCCTGCCATTTGCAGATTTCTCTGGCTGTATGTTTATCCAACTCTCTCGCCCTAATGTCTTCCAACGCAATAGCAGCACGTTAGTGTTGCTAAATTAGCTATATTTATGCCACTTTTCAGGACGCATATTGTCTCCGGTTATTAGATGAAATTCTCTGAATAGAAAACAGATTTTTACGGCTACAGCAGTTGTAAAAAATCAAAGAAAGAAGTGGAAAAATGACAATTTCCTGTATTTTCCTTCGCACTTAGTAAATTTTCTGGATTTTGCTATATTAGCTGACAACAGTTTGTGGAGAGAGGACATTTTTGAGTGTTTTCCATGTGTTATATACTTCACTAAGGTAACTGATTTGGAGTAATGAAGAAACGGCTGTAGTTATGTTGATGTTTCTTTAAACTGCTAGCAAGGTAGTTTTTAACAAACAGAGACGATTTTGTGGTCAACGGGTTCTATTAACAAGACTAACTTATAAAAAGAAGCTTATTTCAAGATAAAGGACGAGGACGAAAAGACAATACAGTTTATGGAACTTTATTTGGGTCAATGAATTTTTCTAGCCGGCTGTGAACCCTAACAATAACTTTTATTTTGATAGACTTGTTACTGTTGAAATAAACCTAATTCGGTATCGATTCCTAGAGGCTTCCATCAGATTACGAGGTATATGTTTCCAATTTTTGATCACATTTTGTTATGCCTTCGCAATGGACGGGGGAGCAGAGTCTTACAGTTTGGTAGCGTAAATCTTTGGAAATTTACATCCACGATGGGATTTTAGCAGTAGGCAACATTCAGCATTGATTGAGCCACTGTTCTTTCTGTAATTTCTTCTTTAGAAGAAGATTTATTATTCAATCCATTTCTTCTCACTGCAAATACAGAACTGTTTCCCGCCGAGTCTACCACCCTTCTTGTTTCAAGTTTTTCCTCTAAATTAATTTTGGTCGCCATAGGTTGCCATTATAGGTGAGAAATTTATCAAAAAATTGCCAGACTTCATTTATTTTTCAGCTTATTTGCCTATATGGCAATCTTTAAGCTATTTAATTAGGAAGCAAAGAGTGCAGTTAAATGGAAACCAGTATTTTACTTTGTTTTGACGTCGGACCACTTTAAATTATCAAAAATATGGTTTAAATAGTTTCAAGTGTTTTGGGGCTTCAAATTTTAGCGTAATGTTAAAGGCTGCGCAACTATTCCTGTGCATTTCTTTTTTGAAAGCTGGAAAAAACTCTGTCTGCGGTCAACTTTTACTGAAATTGGAGTGAAATTTTTGTGCTAGCTTTTTCTGTTTAAACGTTCGACGAAAATTATTAATTTGATCGCACCACCTGAGAAGTTTGAATACTGAGTTTGAACAGAGACAGTGTTTCAAATAAAAAGTAACCAAAGAAGTAGTTAAAGTTTTTTCAACCTGAACTTTGCAAATCTACGGCTCATTTTCTTTTCTCGTACTAAACTTTTCTTTCTTTAAAATAGTAAGGAAACGATTTTGTTGTTGAGGGTTGTTTTATTACGGTAAAAATGCAATGAAGAATACTCCCAGTAAATGAAATAGAAAGGTAGTTTTTCGTTACCGTTATAAAGGATTCTTCCAAGCGCATCTGAAAGCAAACGTTACTTTTCGATCAGTTAACAAAATTACATAACCGTTATTTAGGAGATTAAGATAAGCCAAAATAGGATGAATTTTTTGTTGAATAATTTTTGGTAACTGTTTCTTCTTGACACACTTTTTTTTCTTGACTTTTAAGGTCTAAAAAAGCACAAGTTCTTTATAGTGCAGTTGTAATATGCTTTTAGTTGAGAAACAAAGCTGCCAATTTCACAAACTTCAGTCCAATTTTGCTTGAAGTAGTAGTGGCGTGCTTCTCATAGATATTTTATTCAGTCTTTTTTCTATTAGGGTAACAGTAAGCTATTGCAGTTTTAAGGTTTTTTCAAAACTTTTCCCAAGTTTAACGTTTGGTGATTATGATAGCTGTGAAGAGGATTGAGCTGATAATAATTCATCTTTTCAAATGAACCTGTTGTTAACCATAGGTTCATTAAATTAGCTGCCATATTTGGATTGAAGTGATCTGATTAGTTCTCATTAAAGCTATGTTTCAGTGTACTTTTTTTTAAAGGCAACGTTGTTGCGGTAGTTTATGAGTCGATGGCCGTGGCGGTTATTTCTGCGTGACGTTTTCCATAATTGTTCTTTTCAATTTTTCCTTACTTTTTCCCATAAACTTTCTTCACTACCATTTAAATATTGTTTGCCCCTAATTAGACAAACAGAAGATTGTAAATACTAAAGAAGAAGAATAAATTTCAAAATCAAACTGTCAATTCTAAAAAACGAGGTACTACTTTACTTTTTTTTTTAATCCAGCAACATACAGTTAAACAGTCAAACGAATGACTTTTTATATTCAATATGTTACATCTTTGACAAAAACTTTCCCTGTAATTTTTACTGTAAATTATAAAAGTCAAATTTTTTTCTTTGCTGCAGCACGTAGTTTTTATTTCAAAAGCGATTCTCAAATAGTCAGCCATTTTTTGGAGGATGGAAACTTTGTAATTACTGTTGCATTTTCCTTAAACTATCCGTCACTGGAATTTCGGAACAACCTATGTTTAATAGATAAGTTGCAAATTTGCAAAATTACTTTTTGGTACAATATTTGGCTTAAAATGGCAAAAATTGAAGAAATGTCCGTCTATCATCGACAGTACAATGATTGTATGTCCTTCACTCAACTCTTCTTCACAAAAAGTTTCCTTTGATTACTTAGAAAAATAATGGAAACCGAGCTTTCTGAGCAGGTCAAAAAACTGGAATTGACACTTTTAATAATAACAAATTTCAGTCGTAGTCTGCTTTTTAACAAAGAATCATTCATCTTATGCACTGCAACCTAAAATTGCTCAACATACAAAATTCGAGAAAACGACTACAGTACACATGGAAAAGTTCTGCCTCATTACTACGCCAAAAAAGATAAATAGAGATCTTCACTGTCAGTAATACAGACCACATGTACAGTGACAACCAAAAATAACAAAAAAAATTTTTTTTGCATATGTTATTATTCAAGCTGAAATAACACTTTCCTCCCATATCAGGTTTAAAATAACGAACTTTAACCTGATACATTTTCCGCACTTATAACGTTCTCAAAAGAACGCAAAATTTTTACATATGCTATGATTAGAAGCAACCAGAATCTACGAGGTGTTTCTTGGCTGCATCAGAAGGATGGGGAGTAAATAAAGAAGTACAAAAATAAAAAGCAAAGGTAATATAAATTCCATTGAGACGTCCACAAACATACTCGCAATCAACAGAAGACACCAAGTTGAGGTTCAGTTCTCTTCTAAAAGTCTCCTTGAACAGTTCTCTCCTTCGTTCGATACGTTTCCGTACAGCCGCGATGCTTTTGAACCTGATCTGCTCCGAACGAGCTTTTTTTTTAAGAAAAAAGATTTTCTAAGAGTTTTTTTATCATGCAGTTTAAACTCAGCGACAAGGTTCAGTTCGACGGTCAAGCTAAAGTCCAAATGACTTTACAACGCCTGCTTGATTCCTACGTTTTTTTACGGCAGACTGCACCACAACTTACTTCTGACGGTCAGTGGAACACAATGTCTTCTAGACTCGCAGACCTGCATTTAAGACCTCTACAAGCCAAATTTTTTACAGATTCAGAATGATAGCGACAATATATACAGAAATTATCATAAAATCAAGAATCGTTTTCATTCCATAAGCAATTTTCACTAGATTTACGATTCTTAGCTCCTGCGCAGTGGAAATATGTTTACGGTCAATCGTAAACAAGAAAAAAGTGAAAATGAAGCGTTTAAAAAGCAGAACTTATAGAAGAAACAATTTCTAACATTTTTCCTTCCCCATAAAGCTTCTTTTACATTCTTTTTATTCCCTCTCCAACCTTCTGAAAACCGTCAAGAAATTCTGTGTTCCCTTCAGCTGCCTCCAGTCGTTGCATGTGTAAAAATTTTGTACCCTCTTTGTGTAACCCACAAGTATAGAAGATGCTTCTCAGAACGCAGCAACATTTCTTCATATCCCTTGGTTAGAGGGGAATACCTTTCATAACTCTAAAAATTACTTTGAACAGTCCAGGTGAAAAGTTACTCTAGTTTGAACAATAAATTCTAAAGGAGGAAGTTTCCTATTTTTCAGCCTCTGTTATATGCAAATCTTGGCCATTGTAAATTCGATGCGTTTTTAGCAAAACTTATTGTTCCGACAAAAGTGAAACGCGTCACTCAAATTCCGTCAAATTTATGAAAAGAAAAGTGATTAACAAATAAAATTTGAGCTGTGATTTCTGCCAGTAAAAAAGCTGCAACAGCCTTTTTCAGCTTTCAGAATATAATAAATTATATAAGCTTTTGAACTACAGTCTGGAAATGAAGCTTCCCTAAAACATAATGTGAGAAAGTAAAGTCATTATTGGCTAAGTCATATTAAGTACATGTTAGTTGTTGTTACCTAGAAATCAACCTTACTTTCCTTCTCACTAACTCTGTAAACAGGTACTCAGGTATGATGCCCCAAAACACTAGATAGCAGAATAAAATAAAAGTTAAAAATACATTAGGAAGTTTAATAATGTTTTATTTTTCAGATGGAATTTTCCCAGTTTCTCCACCCGTTGATCCAGAAATGCAGACATCGATACGGCAGTTGCTCATTAACACTAGAAATGCAAAATCTTCGTGTTGAATTAAACGATATTCCAAAGCAACAGGGAGATAAAAGTGAAATTGAAGCAAATGCTGAAACCACCACCTTACGAGTAGCATCTGCTGGAAAAATATTGACCGCGAAAGCAGGCGAGGTACGCTTTAAAATTTATGAGCCAACTGCGCCATTAAGCAGATATTTAAGCTCCCTGATTTTATGCACCCATAATTTTCAATATCATTCAGCATATACAAAAAAAGCACTAACCTTTTGCAACAGTAACCACTCTATGACAGCAGTCAAGTTAACACTAAACCCAAAATGCACCAGCTCAGATCGTCAATTGACTGACATTGTCGCTCAACTTCTTGCCTGCCACTTGCAGACAGAAAAAGCAATTTTAACAGAGTCTATAAGAGACGTGTGCTACCCGCTTGCGACTTCTGACGAACTGTATTTTATATGTCAAAATGAAAAAAAAATGTGTTACAAAATTGAGATCTTTGACAAAACTGGTTGGAAAATTGGCAGCATGAACGGAATTCATATTTCAAAAAAAATTTTTATTTCTATCTGCCCGTCCAATAAGAGGGCAGTAAATAGACTACTCAAGAATAAAATCTTAAACACTGATAGCCTCAGTCCTTTTTGTAAACAAAAAAGTAAGAACATTTACAATAATAGTAATTTAGCTCTTTGGGCAAAAAAAGTTGATAGTGCTAGCAATAATAAAATAAGAAGGACGCGAGAAACAAGATCCAACAAAACTAAAATCAGCCTTGGTGTTAATCACAACCAACAAGCACGAATTAAAAGAAGTGCCCATAGATTTTCACAAACAATGCCAGGTAAGAAAAATCAAAAAAGAAAATTAAAAAGTGAAGACTTCGTTGCTAAAGGAGGAAATTTACCTGAAGAAGAGGAAATTTATTCAGGTAACCGTATTAAGATAAAAGCAAAAAAGAAAGAAAAGGAACTAATTCGCAGAAAGATTCGAAATATCTTGAGGTCGTTTGTTGACGATTTCATTGATGATCAAACAACGTTCACTCGCCTTGGCCTTGATTCCTTCCAGCTGGCTTCATTTGAAATAAAACTAAGAAAAGTAGTCGGAAATCAATATGACATTCCAGAAGGTTGTGTTTTTGAGCACAGTTGCGTCAGCCAGTTGACAGAATTCTTAACAACTAGCAAAGCACAGCAAGGAGCCGATATCGCCAAAAGTATTTTAGCCGCAACTGTTAGAAACAACCATAAAATACCTCTAAGCATTTCACAAAGACAATTGGTTTTTATGGCTATATACGAAAAAGAAAATAATTTGCAGTTTATAGAATGCTACTCAATGAATCTGATAGATTTAGACCTTGTTCGGTTACGGCACGTCCTAAACAGAATGACTGCAAGACAGAACATCTTACGTACGGTTTACAGAGTAGACAGTCAAACGGTTCTTTCGTTAACAGAGTCGTATTTCTGTCTGTACTCAAGAGCTGAACTGCAAAATTCTGTAGAATTAAATATCTTCCAAAAGCCTCCCGTTGCGTTCTACTTAAGAGAGCGAAGTGGTTTTTGCCAGCTGGTTATAACCATGCATCACATAATGACCGATGGTTTCTCGATGAATATATTCGCTCGTGAATCACTGGAACTGTATCAGCAAAAGGTTTTACAAAGGCTTAAAAGCAGCTTCGCTGAGTTAACTTTAAAGGAACTCAAAGAGTTAGAGAATGTAAACAATTTGGAATCACGAAAAAAGTTTTGGCGTGAAATTTTTGCTGACAAAGCACTGAGTGAAATACCTACTGACAAGTTGGACGGAAAACTGTCGCTTCGAAGAGGTCAGTATCTACGTATACAACTGGAGAAAAATACCAATTGTTACCTGAAAAAACTGAGAGACGCATGCGACGTCACGTTATTTTCATGTTTAGTAGGTACGTTTTATATCATGATCAAAATTTTGTTTGGAATTGAGGACTTCTGCATCGGAATACCTGTTACAAAAAGAAATGATGAAGAGTCACGTTCAGTAATGGGCTGTTTTGTCAACCTTGTGCCTTTACGAGCGAAAACTGGTAGCAACGAAACAGTAAAAAAATATTTCCAAAAAATTTTAAAGCAGATCACGATAGCTATATCAAACCAGCTGCCATTTAACGACCTAATCAAAACCATCGATCCAAAAAAAGAATTTACAACAGCAAATCTGTTTCAAATAATGATAGTTTTAGACTCTTTCGACCCTATTACCGCAGCACCCCAAAGAACACCGCAATTTCATTTAATAAAGGAGAGCACTGGTTTTGTTAAATATGATCAAACATGGTATTTCGAGGCTCAAGGTAAAGATATTTCTGCAATTACTGTTGAGTACAATTCTGACGTGTTTTACAGAAATACAATCACAATGCTTGTAAAGAAATTTTTAAATCTAATCAAAAAACTGAACTTCCATCTTAAAGATCCTATTCAACATGTACATATTGAAAGCCCAAGTGATAAAATGAGCACTTATTGCAAATACGTAGAAAATGTTTGTGATTTCCCCTTCGACAAAACAACAGTACAAATTTTTGACCAACAAAATATTCGGAAGCCTTGCTGCACTTCTGTTATATATCAGTCCTCAAAGTACTCGATTGATTACCTAAGAAACCAATCAAAATGTATTGCAATGTCCCTTCAAAATGAATACGTCAAATACTATGGTGAGTTTGCAAGACCGGACACCACAATAGCCCTTCTAATGCGACGATCACCAAATATGGTGGCGGCAGTACTAGCCGTCTGGAAATGTGGCCTCGCCGTGGTACCTCTCAGCATCGAATGGCCTGACTATTTGATTGGATCTGCTTTGAAACAAATCGGAAATCCGCCATTACTTTTTTCCAGCCAAATTTCTAATGCTAAAGAAATCTACGGTCTAACGCTTAACTGCGACGTATCACACGGCTTCGTTAACATATCTGCTTGTAAACAGCTGCGAAGATGTCAACAAGCACAAAACTTGGCGTATGTTACTTTCACATCTGGAACAACAAATAAACCGAAAGGTGTCTGTACAAATTTTACAGGCTTAAACAACTTAATACTGAGTTATACAGAAACGCTAGCCATTAGTACAACAAGTTCAGTATATCAAGTCGTAAACTATGCTTTTGACATATTTTTCGCAGATTTCTCAGAATCCTGTGCTAATGGTGCTCAGCTGGTGCTTGCAGAAAGTCAGATCCCTGCTAAAGATGAGTTACAATCCGTAACTCACGCTTACATAATGCCTGCTTACTTGGCATCTTTGAAAAAAGACAGTTTCCCTTCCCTGAAAAATTTGTTGAAGCTTCATTTTGGTGGAGAACCGCCATCAACCAACTTTTTGTACGCTGCCATCAGCAGTGGAATAGATGTATACCAACAGTACGGTTTGACGGAACACACAGTTTACTCGACCTTACACAGAATGAAATTTGGCGATCACCCGCGGTCAATTGGGAAACCGATAAAAAATACATTCTTGATGAAAGACGAGTCTTCTGATCGTTGCTGCGTTTTCGGAATTGGTCTGAGCCGTGGTTACTTTGACAATGAAAAAGCAAACAGAGCAAGTTTCAAGGAAAAAAATTTCCATTTTGAAAATTCTTCACTCTACCAGCCGCGGCCATACTTCTTAACAGAAGACAAACTGAAATTTGATGCCAGCGGCTATGCGCAATTTTGCGGACGACTTGATAGAGTGCAAAAAATACGAGGTATGACAGTAAACCTAGTTGAGCTTGAAAATCAAATTTCTGCTTTACCCCAAATACTTAACTGTAGCGCCATTCTTCTTCACCTTGATGGCTCTACTTCTATTGCCATCTGCGTAACATTAGACGAGTTTTCCTCTGCCTGTACCAACAATAATATAAATGAGATAATAAAAGTGCAGCTTTCACAAAGAGTACCAGCATATATGGTACCTTCAAAAATCCTTGTTTTACAAGAAATACCAACCAATTCGAATGGCAAAACTGATATCACCGCGATCAAGGCACTGATAGATGCTGAGAACGATAAGCGTAAAACAGAAGAAGTCCTCTATAACAAGGATCAACATCCGGAAGACAAAATTTTCCACAAGCTCATTGAGGAATCATTAAATAAAACTGAAATAGATTATGCTAGTTCATTTTTTGAGAACGGAGGAGACTCCTTGAAAGCTCTGATGCTGCAACAGAGAATTGAAGAAACTCTTTTTATTAATTTTAATATAAAAGAAATTTTTGATTCATCTACAACTATTGAAATAATCGACAAAATTAAAGTGAAACAGAAACAAAAAAGGATATTAATTCGACAAGAAATAGAAAAATCGAAAATAGCCACGTACGATACAACGTCATATAACATGCCTATGAAACGTATTCCCTTAAGTTTTCAACAAGAAGGCCTTTGGTTTCTGCATCAGCTTTCAGAGGAAGTTAATAAAAGCTACATAATTTATCTGCAAGTTACAATAAACAAGGTGGTAGAAGTGCTAACAATGCGTACCTTGTTGAATCACATTGTTATGAAACATCCATTGTTAAGGACCCAAATCGCTGCTATTAAAGTCGAGCCAGAGCAAAGCGTATTGTCTGGAACAGAGTCGTACTTCAGTTCAGTTCCTGCAAATTTTTATTCGAAAAACTGTTGGTTCGACGATTTGACTCCATTCGTTCCACTGAAAATCAAAACCGCTGCTGATAGTAAGAGCACGTGTATCTTTCTCAGTGTTCACCACATTCTAATTGATGGGTATTCTCTACAAATAATAAAAACCGACTTGTCCAAAGCCTACATAAACCTCGTAAATCATTTTCCTCTTTACAAAAATAAGTACCAAAATAATCCTCAAGACATTAGATATTTTCTTCACTGTAAACTGCAAAAAGCGCATGAAAATGACTTGTTGTCTGAAAGTCGGAAATGGGCAAAGTTTTTTGAAAACACCGACCCACTGGTAATACCTTGCGACTTTCCAGAAACTAAGCCATTGAAGACGCTTGCAAGCCGCATAAGCGTACCTTTAAATATGAAAAAGTCTTCTGCTAAACTGTTCTGCAAACAGTACAACTGTAGCACTTTCACTCTGCTGCTGGCTACATATACAATTTTAATGGGCAGATTGTCTGGTCAAAAAACGTTCACTGTAGGAATGCCCGTTGCAAATCGTTCCCTCAACAACAGCACCACTGTCGGCCTGTTTGCTAATACTGTTCTCCTGAAAATTGACACAGTTTTCAACGGAAAAAATGAATTTATTGCTTCTGTAAAAAACTCAATTATCCAATCACTGAAGTGCCAACATATTCCTTTTGAATTTATCGTACGACATTTAAATCCAGGCAGAAGTTCAACAAATATTCCGTGTGTTCATCACTCAGTCGTCATGCATGAAGGATCACAAATTTCTGTGTTAAAGGATAAAAAAGTAACATTCAGTTTCAAAGAAATCCCTCCAAAGTTTGCAAAATTTGACCAAGAATGGTCGTTTACAAAAACTGAAAACAACTACACTCTAACTGTCGAATACTCCAAGCAGTTTAGCCAACAAAAGATAAAACAAGAAATCACCCAATTTAAGAAAATTCTTTCCCAGTTAGTCGCCGATATGAGATTACCATCTGTCCATATGTGCTCCAGCCAACTAACGGATACATTCGTTACCGCTGAGAAGTCTGTACTTAAGTCAAGAACTGTGAATGACAAAACTAATATTGACTCGCCAAAGGAAGTTAAAAACAGCCTAAAAGAGCCCTATACAAAAACTTTTCTAGAAGCTCAGGTACGACAGATATGGCAACGAGTACTGCATTGTCAAGTGTCCGTTGATGATAACTTTTTTACTTTGGGCGGTCATTCTTTGCTTGCAGCTAAAGTATGCTTCGAAATAAATAACGAGCTCCACTACAATTGCCCAATACGCCTGTTACTCGAAAACCAAACAATTCAACAGCTAGTCGAAAAACTATTAACTGCTTCAAGAGAGGATTTGCCCTTAACAAAGGAAGACTTCACAAGAAAAATTAGTTTTAATTCTTCTATAGCAGTATGTGAACTGCAAAAACCAATTTTAGACTTTTGTTTAAACCACCCGCATGCACTTGCAGCATACATCACTGGCTTTACTGTTCAACTAGAACAAGCTTGTAGTTACAGTCGTCTTCAAAAAAGTCTGAACATGGTTCTCATGAAGCATCCGGTTCTGCGAACCTCCTTCACAAACCATAGTCGAACAGTTCATTCAGTAGCTCACTCCGGGACCGAATGCTTCTTAACAGTTCGAGAGTCGCAAGAGGGCAACTGTGAGGTGCCAAGCCCGTTCAAAAAAATTGCTCTTATAACAAAGATTGAAAACCACAAAGGAAGACTGTATTATAAGCTTTGGCTCAGTCATGTACTGGTCGACCAGCAGTCACTGAAATTAATAGCTAAAGATCTATCGGAAGCTTACAGCGGTATTAGTGTAAAGCAAAAAAAAACTATGAGTTATTCTGATTACAGCCAATTTTTAAAAAACGAAATAGAAAAAAAGAAGAAAAAAGTTGAAACCTACTGGGAAGATAAGCTTAAAGACATTGTCATAGAAGATTTTACTGTCATGAAAAGCACTCCAGCCAAATATGATTATCTCTGCGACCGTCTCATCGTACACTTCCAAGGTCTCAATCGTATTCTTAGGCAACTGGTAAATGATTTCAACGTTCCACCTCTCGCTGTTGTGTTAGCTAAATTTGCAGAAACTCTTTCGGAAAGAACAGCAAAAGGGCAAAATATTGTAATTGCTTGTCCTTTTAGCATGCGCGCGAAAGATACACAGAATACAGTTGGCTTTTTTCTTCATGCACTTCCTGTAACGATCAATCTCAAAAATACCTCCACCGAGTCAGCTAGACTATGTCACACTATGCAAGTGCTGCAAGAAGCATATGATAACTCCATGGTTTCTACAGAATTTATACAAGAAAAATTAAAAGGACAAACACCAAAAGTAATGATAACATTTGAAGAGAGCGTTAACGGTGATGACTTACTCAACAATTGTAAAATTAAAGAGGACGATGGCAATAAAAGTTATACTAAATATGAACTAACATTTTTTCTTAAAACAGTCAACGATGACATAGAAATAAAGGCCGAATTTATGAAGAGCTTATTTATCGTTGAAGTAGTAAGGGATATAGTGAACGAGTGGGGAAAACGAATTTCTAAGACGATGAAAAGAGAAACTTTAACACAAGACCCAGAGAGCCCTGTCGTTGAAGACTTGCCGAAAGCAACTCTCCCGCACCTGCTCCAGAAAACAACGACCTTAGCCCCTTCAAGATTGGCAATTTCAAACAAAGGTCAAACTTTGACCTACTCATCAATGTTTTCTGCAATAAACAGAATAACGAAGGAAATAAAGCAAAAAGCTGTTTGCCTTTTAGGAGAGTTCCTGAGAAGAGATACAATTGTTCCAGTTATAGCAAAGAAGTCTTTAGGAAGTATCTTCTGTTGTTTGGCTGCTTTAAACGCTGGAGCGTCTTATCTTCCTATTGACGAAACTAACCCAAAGAAAAGGATCAACACAATTCTCCGTAAAGCCGGCGCTTCCTTCTATTTAGCCAACGCCAACCAGCAACTTCTGCCTACTATTCCAGCGATTGTAAACTTCGATAAATTATCTGCTCATCCAGAAAGTACCAAAACGTTCCGAAAGAATCTGGGAATTAACGATATCGCATATACAATCTACACCTCTGGTACAACTGGAGAAGCTAAAGGAGTCGTTATCGAAAACGGCAGTCTCGTAAATTTAGCAATACAAAGTACAAAAAACTTTTTTATGGCACCATCAGATTGCGTTTACCAGCTGACAAACTTCTGTTTCGACAATAGTGTACTAGAA